GATGACGGTGATTCGTCAATGATGGACTTTCTCGACAATCAAATGGATGATGAAATGATGGTCATTAACGACGATGAGGAGGAAGGTGATGAATCATCACTCTCGTCTTCTTCATCATCATCATCATCTTCTTCCATGGAGGAAGAAGAAGAGGCGGAGATTGAAACAAACAACTCACTAATGCGCCCCACCTCTAGGGAGCCTGCTACTCATGTGATGTCCTTTGACTCTGATGATGAGGGTGATTTTGACGAAGATGATTATGACCACGATGATCAAGACGACGCAGAGGGCGATGACGAGGAATTTGCAGGCGACGAAGATGACGATGGTGAGGTTGATGGGGCCATCGCTTCCTATCAACGGCACCGTCGCCAGGAGCCTTATAATGGATCTGAGAGCGAAAATTCTGGTTTATCTTCGCCTGAAAGTAACAGAGATGGGAGACGATCCCCCTTTGACCAGATTTTTCCACCTGGAGAAGATATTATCATCAGATCTTCAATGAGCAATCTTCTTTTTTCGGCTTTTGATGATGAAGACCACCACCCCAGTCATTTACATCTCTATCCAGGCCATGAAGAGTTGGTCCACTCGGATGATGATCTTGCTGAAGCCCCGACTTATACTGTGCGTGACATTGCCCATAGCGATTATGTTCGCTCAGGGCGTAATGTTTCCCCCGGGTTTCAAATGATCGAAGGCGATGGCATTATAGGTCGCGCCGCCGCCGAAATGGTTCGGCTGTTGATGATGGATGGCGGGGCACAGTCCGGTGGTACGATTTCCGGGGGGCCATCAGCCCCACTCGCATCGACCGATTTGCCTGCTACAGGAGAGGCAGGCCAAAAGGTCATCGCGTCGTCGTCATTTTTGCTGCTTGCTGCCTTACGTGATGCCTCTGCAATGCACCTGCTACCTGGAAAGGAAAAACGGACGAAAAAAAAGAAGATGGCAATGGGAGCATCGGCAGTCTTTGAGTTGCTACCGATTTCGATTGAGCGACAAATGCCCTCTGAGGCGGATCCAGGCCCCATTTCGTGGACTCTTGGGGCACGTCCGATCCAGATTGAAGACCAGGTACCACCTGGTCCCAACCTGTCTGTTTCTTCCAGCTCCGATGCCTCGATTTCTTCGTCTGTCGTATTGAGAAGTATTGCCATGCTCCGGCCATGTTCGACTGTCGCGCGCGCACGCCAGCTCGGAGTTTTGCTAGATGCTCCTCATGACCTTCTTCAACCACACACTGGAAAGCTCCTTAGGCGAGGACCGTTCAATGAAAGGGTGCCACAATGGACAGGACCATGGTCTATTCTTCTCGGGAGTTCGAGAGCTATTTTTGCGGCATTTTCAAAGCTTTATGTGGAGCAAGTTGTTACTGAGCAACAACCACCACTTCCGGAGCCACCGATTGTTGAGGTTGAAACCCATGTTCCGGTACAGGCCTCTGCGTATGATGGAGGTGAAATTGAGAACGATAGTGGCTGGATTTCTGTTGATTCTGACGCGTCTGGAGACGCTTCTCAAATGCCCGCTGGCGATACTGACGAGTCCATGGAAGAGGAGAACCACAGCGCGTCTACTATCGAAGAACCTGTTGATGTGGAGTCAGGTAATGGCGCAGATCCTTCTGCCCAGTGGCCGATACTTTATGTAACGCCGCCACAATTAGATACCCAGGTCCTGGAGGCGTTGCCTGAAGAAATGCAGCGCGAGATTTTTTCATCTTATTTTTATGAACGACGCCAGAATAACCCAGGGCCGTTGCGCCTAGCGCTGTCGCCCGAATTTATGGAGCAGATCTGCTCGTCTGCCCTTCGTAGTCTCATTTTGGAGATGGAAGCGCAAGAGCGCGAAGAGCATCTTCGAACGTGGACAGCTTCAGGAACCGCCACTACATACCCCACCACCTCACAAGCCATGCCGCCGTCATTGACCGAAGCCTTGGGTAGCCTTTTCGCTGCAGCAGGAATGACCCTGGCGCCAGAAAGCCACCGACGCCGTCACGCTCAAGATCTTGAGAGCGACGCTGAGCTTGATGATGACACGGATGATAATGAGCTGGACGATGAGCTTCATATAGACCATCTCCAGAGAAGGTCAGCAGGTAGTGAAGACTTTACAGTGGATCCGGCGCCACTATTCTTTACCAACAGACTGGCACGCGAAGGGCGGCGTGTTCGCAGGCCTGCAGCACTTTTTCTCCAACTGCCTTTTGAGACAAATGCGGAGGCCGAAGAAAAGACTGCAAAAGAGACCCAAACAGAGGGAGACGCTAAACTAGACACCGAAGCAAACTCTTCCAATTTTCACGCTGTATCCGATTCCGATCAAAGCGAAGCCATTTCATTAGCTGTAGTTGAGAGAGCAGTAGGTGCGGGCCTTTCTGGAAAGGGCGGACTTCCCCGGCGACTACGCGCCTTCCTTGGTGTTGTGTTACGCAAAAATGGATTGCCTTTACTGATGGCTGCGCTGCTTGACCGCTTTGAACGGCGCCCTCGCGAAAGCGGTGAAGAATTTCTTTTGCTACGAATATTGGACTGGCTGTTACGTCAACCCGCGTTTTCGCTTTCCTCAGAATTTGAAACTACGCGCATGGGCGAGGCCGTCGCTAGACGCATTGTGTTGGCACCTCAGCAAAATGAGCGCTGCCTGGTAAAGGGACTTGCCTTGCTGCGGCGGCAATTTTTACGCGGGCTCTCCCCCCACACTACGGGTGAGTTTGTGCGTCGCTTTCTTCTACATGATGCAGAGCATATGTGCTCCGAGCGCCTCTTTCATGCATTTCTCCTGCTTTTAAAAGGCATTTGCGATGCCGAAGATTCCATCAAACAAAGACGCTTGATATTCGATATGGTGGTGCGCTCGACCCGCGAGCGGATAGATGCCCTCGTGGAGACAAGCTCCAAAAACCTTGATGCACACCCTTCGGCTGCAGCAACCTTTGAAATGCTGCTACGAAGTGCGCGGGCACTTAGCCTGTTCAGAGGGCCCGAGTATTCATATGAAGGTTTTGGAACCACACTGGATTCTCTTATCGCGCTTTTTAATAGTCAGCTGCAAGGGAAGGTCGAAGAATTAGCCATCACAGGTGGAAAGTTTGCATGTGTAATGTCGTTGCTACTGCAAGCGCTTTTTCTTTTGGCATCCCTTGATGGGCAGGCACTTGCACAAGATAACGTGTCCCTTTCCTCGCCAAATGTAACAGAGACGCCGGCTCCGGACTCCAACAAACATCCTTCATTTGCACCGTCACAACGATTGGTGGAATTTGCCACTCGCCACCGCGATGCGATCAATGCAAAAATCCGCGAGAGACCCTCCTTATTACTCGGAGCATTCGGTCCGTTCCGAATCCTGGGCGAGCAACCGGCCGCCATTGGCCGCCGTGTGCTTGATTTCGAAATCAAGCGCACATGGCTTGCCCGCGCTTTGCGACGAAGCGAGCCTCGACCTGCTCCATTGGCACTGCGCATTCGCCGTGACCGCCTCTTTGAAGACTCTTTCCGTGAAATCATGACGCTTCCCGCCACGGCGTTGGCCGAACGCCCGCTTTCTATTGCTTTTGACGGCGAAGAAGGAGTCGATGCTGGTGGCCTTACGCGTGAATGGTTTTCATTGCTTGCACAGCAGATGCTCAATGCTGGGTATGCACTTTTCCTACCTGTGGGCGGTGGTCAAGGCGGCTCTGGCGCAGTCTTTTATCCGAACCGCCTGTCTGCAGTGAATCCGGAACACTTGGACTACTTTGAGTTTGTAGGGCGCATCATTGGCAAGGCCGTGGTGGAAAGCCAATTGCTTGCTTGTCACTTTGCGTGTGCCTTTTACAAAATCCTATTGGACATCCCGTTGGAGCTGAGCGATCTGGAGGCTGTGGATGCGTCCTATTATCGCTCATTAGCGTGGATGCTTTCGCAGGCAGATCCAGAGCAGCTGGAAGAGCTTTCGCTTTTCATGGTCACGGAGCTAGACGATTTTGGGCGGCCACGAATGGTTGATCTTATTCCGAACGGCTCGACAATCCCTGTTACCGCAGACCGCATCGAGGAATATGTTTCGCTGACGGTCGACGTACGGCTACGTGGAGCGTTAGAGGCACAATTCGATGCCATACGGAGGGGGCTCTTTGGAGTGCTTTCTCAAGAAATCCTTGCCATATTTACGGAAAAGGAGCTTGAGCTTTTTATTTCGGGGCTTGCGCTGATTGACGACATTGACGATTGGAAGCGGAATACGGAATACGGCACCGGCTATACGGCCACGTCGCCACAGGTAGTGTGGTTTTGGAGAGCAGTGCGTTCCATGTCATACGAAGAGCGCTCTCAGTTGCTACAATTCGTCACAGGCTCGATGCGAGTTCCTTTGGGCGGGTTTTCACGCCTACTCGGCTCAAATGGCGCGTTGCAAAGGTTTTCCATACACCGGGACACGGGCGGCGCTCACCGTCTGCCACAAGCGCATACTTGCTTCAACCAACTAGATATCCCCGAGTATGAGTCCTATGAACAGCTGCGGCGTGCTTTACTGGTCGCCATTCGTGAAGGCACCACCGGCTTTGGCCTTGTGTAACCAACGTTGGTTAATAAATTGGCGGGCTCGTATGGGTTGAAAAATAATTTCCCAGTCTCAATCTCAGTCCCAGTACCAATTCCAACCCTAAACTTTATTAAACAATTCTCCAATTGGCCACATCGCGGATGGTCCAAATCGAGATCACCTCGTATCTGGGAAAGCCATCGATGAATGTAACGAACCCATTGGCGCATGGCATTTCGCCGACAGGGCCTCATTCGCCATCTGGTTTCCGCTCAACCAGTGATGAGGCCATCCATTCAGAGCTTGTTAAGGGCTCTGAGGAATTTTCGATCCCAAATGCCAGTCCTGCAAGTCACAGCCAGCTGTTGGAGCTGTTCAGTTTTTTCCTGTCCTTTGCAGAATATTTTGGATGCACAAACTTTTCCTTTACAGCAATGGTCGACTCTTTTGTGAACATGCTTCCTGGCCACGCAATTCCGACGATCGTGGAGACCATGCTCATTTCAATGGTGAGCTTGATTGTGCGGGAATACAACTCCTCCGCGGCCTTTAGCACGACAGTTGACAGCCATTTTGACGCCACCGTGGTGGAGCCTCTCAGCTTTCCATTTGAAAGCTATGACTATAAGGTAACCTTGAAGTACTGATCACTGAAGGTGCAGCCCTTTCTTAGATCCAAAACATCGTCAGCTCGCTCATCGTTTTCACACAAGAGAAAAAGGATGGCTTGTCCAAGGTCACGTCCAAGTGTCGCCGTTGACTCGGACCTTGACACGGAGGATGAGATTTATCAGGAAGAAGAGGACGAGCAACAAGATTCCGACGAAGAAGAGGAAGATCATGATCCGGGAAAGTCACGTGATTTTGAGGATCTTAGCCTGGGAAGTATTCTTTTAGAATACTTTGCCGAGGAGTACAAGGTTTCCGACTATTGGGCCATTGTCCTTTTTTCGCTCTTTCAAAAACAGGTGTCTTTCCCGCAGCTAATGATTTTAGTTTACGCATGAAGAGTTCAGCCAGTTTGTCTCGATTCCGGGCCAGTTTACGCACCAGAATTGCATGGCCCTTTTTTGCTATTTTTCCATTTCAGACAAGATCAACATTTTCCACATTTTGATGACGGTGTCTCTGCTCGCAAATGAGTTGAGGTTCGACAATTCATGCCAATAGTTTCCCATAGGCGACATGTTGATACGGTACTGGAGGAGGGATATTCCTCTAAAATCAAGCTTTCTGGCTGCGAGTCCATCATGCAGTCAAGGTACAGTTGTAGCATTTTTTCCGCAGGTCAACCGAAAAAAGGGATCTTGAGGCTGAGCTCGACATGCAGCAGGCTAATTTTGATTTTTTAAAGAACTCGATAGCAAATTCTCATGGTCTTGATGAAATGCGGCAGGGCCATCATAAAAGGTAGGGCATCTCCAATCACAACAGAGCAAGAAACTCCCCTCAATTGCATGGCAGCAGTGTTGAAGAAGTGGAGCTTTCGTTGAAATCACTGAAAAAGTCCAAGTCTCTCATCGAATCAAAAATAAGAGGCATCGAAAAAGCGCTTTCCGGACTACAGAAAGATGTAAGCATTTGCACTTCCTTTCCTTTTCAGGCTTTCGCTTTGCGAATCAAGCTATGCCATCACGACCGTATGCTTTTACATCCACTGGCCGTGCCGGGCGGTCAAGAGTACATTTGGTGGCTCGATAACCCGCTTCCACACATAAAGATCGGATATTCGCCCTGCGTTGCTCCTTGGACTGGGCGCGTGTTCATAGAGTTTTTGAGAAAAAAAAACTCCACAATGGACTCGAAAAGCGGTGGCATCAAGTATCGGCGAATGACGCTTTTGCCGACCTCGAATTCGATAAAATGGAGGTCCATCACGACACCTGGATCTCCTGCCATCAAGGCGCTGACCCCGCTTCTGTTTGAGGCACACCTTGACCCGACCCATATACAGCTTTCCTTGTCTGAACACCCCGTAACATGCGTGAAATTAACGATTAGGACTATCATTTATTATTTAGAAAATCAAAACGAAGCCCAAATTCATCAGATGATGGACCCGAGTCATGGATGATTTACACCAATAAAAAGTAAATATTCAGATCGCTTTTCTGGAGGTCCTTTGTCTTGGTCTAAAGGCTCGCTCCTCCACATCGGAAGAGTTGATTGAAAAATCTTCAACACCAATTCTGGATTTCGAAAGGCTCTCGGAAAGCCGCGAGGATGTCCTTCTAAAGTCCCTCTCTTGGCTTGCAGAGAATTTCTTTCCGGGGGGCGGCGGTGCAGACGAAAAGGGCAAGTCTTTGGAGCTTGAAAGTCTATTGTTGTTGGGCTCGTCGCCCAAGGGTTTTCCGGCCCCCACATCGGCAGTGCCCAGGGAAAAAATCCTTATCGATCTTCTAGGGACAATGACAAACTTGTCTTGATCTGGCTTTGCAGAGCTGCTGTTGGCCGAGCTGTGAAGGGGTCTTTTAGAGACACACTGCACGACATCAGGCTTCGTCAGCCTATCCGAGCGTCTTGGCGACGTCAATTTTGACGTCGCCACAAGATTTGAGCCGAAAGTAAGTGTCTGCTCTTTGAATCTGTATCGCGCAAATCTGGCCTCCAATGCGCGATCCGAGATTTTCTTTGTCGGCTTTACATGTTCATCTATAAAGGCGATCAGCTTTTCGTGCAAAATTGAGGCCTTTTTTATGATGTCAGAAGAGTCTTCGTTGAAAAGCATGGCATTCGACAATATTAAATTGCAATCCCATTTGAGGGCTTCGATCCTGCGATAAAAGTTGCCATCAAGCCTGTCGATTATTAAATTCAACGACATCGGGTATGGAACGATCGACGAGTATGAAGGGAACATGTCAAGCGATACAAGGGTTAAAAAGGGTTTGGCAAAGCTGGACGATTTCAAGGATTCAAAGAACTCACAAAGCCGCTTCCTATCCGTAGCGGAAAGCTCATCAGTGCACTTTCTTTCTGCATCAAGACTTTCCCATATGCTGCACCTATCAAGAAGCGGCTGCTCCTGGGCCTCAAAGCCATTGGCATCAGCACCATTTGCATCTTTCCAAACAATAGAGTACGCCTGCCACGGCGAAAATGGCCATCTTGGATCGGCAGAATAGGAGATCGAAGCCACGGTAGCGGGATGGATTTCGGTTTCCGAAAAAACCACCTTGATCTCGTCATTGACATGCGTGGAGCCATACGATTCTATTGAAGACTCGTAGCTTTCCCAAAGAATAATAAAGTCTGGCACATTCAAGTCAAAATATTGGACGTAAATGGACTGTCCAACCAGTGACGCATTTTCGTCGTTCAAAACGACGCAATCCAATTGAACCCAATGGACGATGTTCGTGTAGCATTGAATGGACTCTATTTTCAAAGCAACCACGGAAGAAAACGAGTTTCCAACATAAGGAAGCAAAGGCTCAAATTGATGCACCAAATCAGCATATGCAGGACTCGACTTCGCAGTGCGAATAAATAGCTCGTGGCCCTGAGGAAAATATGCAACGGTGTCGCCAATCTAAAGATTAAAGAATTGGAGCACCTGAAAAACGTAAGGAATAGACGTTTTGTAGTCGTAAGAGAAATATGGCAGATAGTCCATCGAGGTGACTGAAGAAACCTCCTCCTCCTCCTCTTCAATTTCGCCCACATTTTTGGACCGGATCTTTTTTGTAGCTTTTTTTCGCTTGTTGGGCGACGAAAGTGGCCTGGGGCGATGGGGGGAATCGATCTCATTATCTGAGCCGAAAACAGAGGAGGCTTGGTCTTGCTCATCGCTATCATCCATATCGATGGGAAGAATCCGGGAGCGTCTTGTGGCGACTCTTACCAAAGAAGCATCAACCTCATCTTCTGTCGATGCATATGATAGTCTGCTGGAATGTCTGCGTTCCCCCCTTCCAGCCTGCTGGTTTGGCGTATGAGGCAATGAAATGTCCTCATGATCCGAGGGCTCCGATGAAGATGTGCCCGGCTCTTGAAATTCTTCAAATAGCTCGTCAGATGAATCGACATGGGTTATCCATTCAATATACTCCTGCCGTTGGATTCTTTCAGATTCGTCGTCAGACCCATAAAAAACGGTATCCTTTTTTTTCTGTCTACGCTTTTTGTTCAAAGTCAACGGGGAATACAGGGCATACGAAGTTTGCATCGCGGCTTGTTCCAGCTCGATTTTGGAAATAAGCAACACTTCCGATATTTCCCTGGTAACTTGATCTTGATCCAACATCCAGTTGATGTTTGTAATGTCTGAGGCCGA